TACTCGATTATAATCACGGATTCATCGCCCTTGTTCATTCACTGAGTTCAAGTTCAACTCTCTCCAAGATGACTTGAGATCATCTTCACTCAAACGATCAGAGAATAACTCATCAATTCTATCTTGGTAGTCATAGGAATGTCTCCATCGGAGCTGTCACTTTCTAACTTCACCATGATGTTAATGATCAACAGAAGAATCGATTTAATAACAATAGGAACAACTAACTGATGCCAATCTAACTCTAGAAGCGTCTGGAGCTGCTAATAAGAGATCTGATACTAGATTAACGACAAACAAATCAATAGATAACAAGACAAATATAAGATGTAACAAATAACAAATATGTATTCAACACAAACAGCAAAGTCAACAAGTCTCAGTGGTAATACACCAGGAATGTTTCAACACTCTCCAAAGGTCTAAACAAATATACAAGAACAGCAGCGGAAAATCTTTTCCAACATTTATAATGAAAATTTTTCCTGAACCAGCATGTAAATAGTATAACCCGGAACAACTCATCCAAGATTACTCTTGCAACGGAATGGATTAATCTTGTTGAATAAAGAGGCAGCTCTTGATTCCTGAAGAGCGACTGGGACCTCATCGTCGTCGTCATAGAGCGTAGCGTATCGAGTTTGGCTTGGGCCGATAAAGGGGAGGTTTCTTAAGAAGGACATTTGGTCTTGAAGTATTCAAATATTGAGCCATAATTAAATTCAAACTATTCAAATTTAAAATCGGTATAACCAAAAAAAAAAGATTCGAGGGTGCGAAATACTGTCACGTGAAATGATTACATAATAACACCCTCGTAATTCCGTTTTCTTATTGTTTTTGAGTTTTGAATTTGAACTTGAGTCAAAGAAACAATTGGATTAAATTGGATAGAATAAAGAATTGATACTTAATTAAACCATGGACAGCTTCTTACATTACGGCAAGGTCAAGCAGGAAGAAGGCGAGAGTGGTGCAGCCAACGTAGAGGACAACAGCCACTTTCTCAGCTCAATTCCAGACTCCACAATCGATGAGAATGAACTGCTGGACTTCTCATCAATAGACAATGCCTTTGGAGGAAACAACAACAATAAAAGCAGTAATACTCCCAATGCCAGTATCTCAAGAACAAATGAGCTACTAGGAACCAGCTTGAATAGCAAAAGAATGCCATCATCATCATACAACAATAGTTTAAGTAATAGCTATCTATCTCAATCCCTTTCATCGTCAATCCCAATCAAACAATCATTAGCTAAGGCACTTCCAACTTTATCAGAATCTTATAATTCCAACACAGACCATAATAATAAAGTGCATAAAGTGAGCACTTCAAGAAGAAAATCTTCAATCAAAAGAGAAAATAATAATAATGATGATAATGATGATGACGACGATAATGATGATACGGTTGAACGTAAAAGAAGAGATAATATGAATGAAAAGATACAAGAATTGTTAACTTTAATACCTCAAGAATTTTTTGATGATCATAAAGATAAATCAAGTGGAACAAAAGACGGTAAACCAAACAAAGGACAAATTTTGACAAAAGGTTTAGAATATATTCAAGATTTACAAAATAAAATTGATGAAAATAATAGAAAAGAAGTTGAATTGATATTAAAATTGAAAAACCTAAGTGTTGTTAAAAATCATCAAATAACTGATATGAATCTAAATAATACAAGTGCAGAAATTGTATTGGGAGAAATTGGTGTTGGTCCATTAGCTGGGTTAGTTAGTAGTTCCACTACTGTGGATAATACAACTACAATGTCTTCAGTTTCACAAAAATCTCCAAATAATAATTTTGAATATGGAGGTTATGATCAATATGGTAATTAATATGTTATTTATTATAGTGTTTTTTTGTTTTTGTTTATTGTATAAGTACATGTTTGTTAGATGAAATCAAGATGTATTCGTTAATATGTATAAGGTGTAATCAATTAATATAAATTTGGCATTCTCAAAACTTCCTTCTCTTTATTCTCACTCAACTCTTGTAACATCTTTAAAATCTTACTATCTTTCCATTTCTCAGGTAATGGTGTAATATCATAATTCTTTGTAGCCCAATAATAGATATCCCAATCTAATTCATCTAACAATTTATCATATTCATCTAATTCCTCCATATTGAATGTAGTTAAATGTAATTTAGCAAATTTTGATAATAATAAATCAGTTTCTAAGATACCTCTTTTTCTACTTTGATAAACTAATCTTGCTCTTTTTTTATTAATATCTTCATTTTTACGTTCAATTGGTGCAATTTTAACCACTGTTTCTTCTTTACCATCTTTTGAAGTTTCTGTTATAACTTTTGGACTGAGGTTAGTTTCACCAAAGTCTTTATTTAGTAGAGAACGACTTGTAGAGAAGAATCTGGCTGATGATCTGGATAATAATGAGCTTCTAAGCATATTTGAAATGGGTTATAAGTATCTGATCAAAGCCAATATTGAACAAGTATAAAACAATTGTCGATATCCAATTTTTTCACGATTAAAAAAAACCCGGAGCCACAAGGAAATGGGTTTAATGACACAATAAAAGTTTGAAAGAGCATAACTTCATAGCCAAAAAAGGTGAAATAAAACGGTTAAAAGATTTGAAATTAACAAGATATTTTACACTATATTAATCTATTCAATAAAGAATAGATCACTTTCTTTTTTACCTTCCTCTTTGGGAAGTCAACGATTTGTTTTTGTTTTGATTTCGAAAAACAACAAAAAAAACATAAACAAAACATTTCAATACGCGTAAAACAAGATCTATTCAATACAGAAAACCACCAAATCCATGCTCTCTTCAATGTCCAGACAATCGTCCATCCGTCGCCAGAACCATGAGCCAGTGAAAAGCGACCGTTTCCCCCTGTTGGACATCCCAGAACTATCTTTATGTCTCAAGAGTTGTAATTTGAGTGCCCCAGAAGAAGATTTATTCAAACCAACTCCAATCTTTGTCCAATCTATATTCCAACAGATACTTCACATTTTTTTATCAATATCTCCAAACAGAATAAGACATAGACAACAGAAATTAGTGGAGGATGAAGATGAACGGGAAGAATTTGAAGAATCTTTAAATTTGTTATCTTTACAAACAATTCTTTATAAATTCTTTGTTGATTGTGGGATTTATGATTTTATGGTTACTGATTTGACTAAGCCTGAACCTCAAAGAGTTAAAAGATTATTAAGTGCTGTGGTGAATTTTGCAAGATTTAGAGAAGAACACCTTTATGATAATGAAGCTATTATGCAAGAAAATAATTTAAAATTTGATAAATTCCAAACAAATTTAGATGAGAACAAGACTCTCAAGAAAAATATTCAAGGGTTGGAAGATAGAAATAACAAGATCAATAATAATTTGGATCAATTAAATGAACATAATCATAAAGTTGAACAAGAATTAAGAAATTTGAAAAAAATTCAAGAATCTTTAACTACACAACATTTGAATTATAAAACTGAAAAATCAAGATTGATTCAATCATTAGAAGATCATAATTATTTATTATTGGAATCTAAAAAGGATTTAGAGAAAATGAAAAATTATATTATTGAATCACCAGATATAATTTCCAAGATTATACAAGATATGAATAACTCTTTAGAATCTGATCAACAAGCTTTATCAGATTTGGAGTTAAGGTCAAGAAAACTAGCCATCACAATTGAATCTTTTAATTTAATTCAACAAGATTTGAAAAATTGTTTAAAATTAGTGGAAGAATTAACTATAGAGATTAATAAAGAAAATTTAAACAATAACAAATTAAATCAATATAAAGAGAAGTTTGAAGATAATAATTTGAAAGTGAATGAATTAAATAGAAGAATTCAATTATTAACAAGACAAATTAAAAATAATGAAGAGAAAACTTTAAGAACAACACAACAAAAAGATGAAAAAGTTAAAGAATATGAATTGAAAATGCAAGAATTACATGAAATTTATGCAACTTTAATGACTGAAAAAAATTTAAATGATCGTGATATGCAAAAGAAGAAAACTTATATTAATTCAATTCAAAAAAAGATGTATGATTTAGAAATGTCATTTAAAAAGGAATATGATGAAACTACTCTAGAAATTCAAAGATTGAATTCTCATTTCAAAGTTTATTTGAACCAAATTGAGGAAAAATTGAATTTATGATGAGCCAAACTTTAATTATATTTATACACATTTTTGTTTATGATACACCTTTGTAAAAAAATTGAATATAAAACTCTTTTGTATCTTCATCCCAAAAAGTCCAGAACTTATCATTATTATTTGTATTATTACTTTCATTATCATTAACATCATTACTATTATTACTATTATCATCATCATTTCTATAAATCTCTTTTGAAGGTATCTTGAAAGCAATATTTTCATAAGGATCACCAGAAACTATTAATAATTGAAATCTATCATCTTTAACCTTCTCCAAATTTGATTCATAAACACTCATGAATCTATATTGAGGAATTTCATCTTTATTCAATTTTGGAAATTTAACATTAATTAATAAACCAATTTCTAAAGATTCTGGATGTCTAATCTTCATAACTTTATAACCAGGTTTCCCTATCTTATTCACACTTTTCTTTGTTTGGATCCCACTTATACCTGATTTTTCCAAATTTGAAAGATTATTATTATTATGTTTTTGTTCAAATATTGATCTTTTTTGTAAATTCATTTGATGTTTACGACCTTGAGTATGAGTTAAAAACGATTCAGGTGTCGAATGTGTAGTTAAACAGAGTCGACACTCTAATAATCCAACATGGTTTTTGAAAACATATGGATCATTATCAATATCAATTGTATTGGAAACTAATTTCTTTATACGTTCTCTTCTATAAGCATTTGCTTCACTTGCACTGGCAACACCACCACCTATTCGGAAATGTTAGTATTGTTATAATAGAAGAACATGAAATTCTCACTCACCTCCTTTCTTAGAACCTGCTCTATTCTGATAATCCATTGTAAAGATAATGTTTTTTGATTGATGAGTTAAGTTTATGACTTTTAAATGGGTTTAATTTTTTCATTTTAACTATAGTGATTATGTAATAAATTAAATAATCAATATACACTAAATTATGAATAAATCGTATTAATTGTATTAATTTTAATATTAAATTGTATTAAATCTATAAATAAAATGAATCTCTATTTCACATTTCTCCCATCTCTTTCCCGTTCATCACCTTTCAGTTCATAGGCAGGTAAATAATCTCCATTTTGTAATTTCAAACTTGGATTCCTTATAGTGGAATCAATCCCACCAAGACTTGTAAAGCCTTTATCATACAATTCACAATATTCAATTTGGGTCTTTTGGATAAAGCACCAAATTTCATCATAATGCCAATTTATCACTGGATGAATTCTTATAAATTCGGGCCAACCATGATCAGTTTTTTGGAAATGTTTTAAATCTGAAGCAAATGGATCTGATCTTCTCGTCCCTACTATAATTGCCTTTATCTCTGGATGGTATTGAAGATATTGTGTGAAGCCTTGTTTTAATTTCATATTTATGGAAACTAGATCAAGTTTATATTTTGATTTTGAATAGTTGATAAACTTGATCAATTCGGGGAATTGTTGTTCATAATTTATATATACCGATTTCAATGAATTGAATGAATCTAACTGATCTGGTGAATATTTTGTGGAGAGTGAGGAAAGATAAAGTATCAACATTACTAAACAATCTTTACCACCGTTATAAGATATTGAAAGTTGTTCAAAACTGAAATGGTTAGTGACTAGCTCTAGAAGTATTTAAACATTTAACTCACTTGAATTTATCTAAAGCTTCATCCAGCACTTCCAATGATGCTTGCACTTTTGCTTGAGTCTCTATCAATAATTGACCATCATCATTTTCATCATTATTGATCTGTAAAAAACGGGACACAATTAAATTTGATTCATGGCATACTTCACTGAACTTCATTTCCTTTGAGTTGATCTTGATGTTTGAGAGTATAACGAGCACGAGGATCAAGAACAGTGACTTTATAATCATCGACAGCTTCTTCCTTTGCCTTTGGGTGTTGGTGCTCTTTTTTTTTTCTATCTTCTCCAGAGAATTCAAACTTTCTCGATGTCGAGAAAATGATGGTTACGAGGCACTGGTCTGATAACTACAATGAACATCTTTAATATTAAGATTGTATTATATACAGTATTCTTTAGCATTTCAATTCGTTTCTTCACATGGATGTCATCAGATCGGTTCTGAATGCCTTGACATTCTTCATCAATTTCTCATCTTCACTATTCCAAAATTGTCCATAATATCCAGTAGTACCCAATTGACGTTCATCTTCTAATTCAGTTGCAGTTGTACCCAATAGAGTCTTTTCCATATCATTTGTCACCAAGCCTAATATACTTATAGTGTCCATATCCCCTGATATACCATTGACTTTCATTTCATTAATTAATGAATCAATCATATATGGATCTCTGAAAAATTGCCATGATCTTTCTAAAATTTCATTATAAACTTCAGTTGTACAACTGAAAGTGTATGTCTTAATATCTAGATTGTTTTTAATATGTTGGAAAATTGAGATGGCCTCTAATGGTGAATTAAATCTTAAACATAATAAATTGATTGAAGTTGATAAAAAAATTGGGATTGTAAATTCATTGATTAATGGTGAATTTGGATCAGTTTCTGAACGTTCTTTGATCTTTGTTATTAATTCAGTTGATATTGGTTCATATTTATAATTTTTGGAATTGATATATTTAGAAAATTCCTTAATTAAAGATTCAATATATTTAATTAAGAAATAATCTGTATCTATTTTATTTAAATGTTGTAAAGTTGGTGAAATGGCTTCTTTTAATTCATGTTTTGTTTGGATCTGTTGGATTAATGCCCCACTAGGACTAAACTCTTGTGCAACAATATCACCAGAAAGTGATAATGGTAAAGATCTTAAATCTTTTGATTCATTAACACTTAAAGTTTTAGCACCACCACTATATAAATTTTTTTCAAAAATGACTTGTAATGAAGGTAAATCGTTTTTAGAGGAGTGACTTGTATCTTTTTTAAAGGTCATGATATTATTGAAAATAGATGTAAAAGTATCAGAATCTTGTTTTGAAGCTGTATTTTTAGCAAAATTAGCTAAAATATCATCAGGAACTTGTGAAGAGCCTTGATTCTTGTTTGGTCTTGCAAGGGAGAACGATCTTGTTACGGATCTTCTGTAGCAGCATTTGATCGAGGATCTAAGCATTTTCAATTCAAAAGGGTTGGGATGGAGTGTTTTAAGGTACTTTGTAATTTTATTCATCTTTGATGTTATAAAAGTTTTCTACTCAAAAAAAAAGTGTATATTGTGTGGCCCAACCAGGCGATTTTTCAATAGGTAATTCAATCATCTTTTAATTTAATTTATGGCTACAGAGTTTATATTGGACTTGGTATATGTACAGTAATCATTTATTTACAGATTTTTTGTGGTTGTGTTTTTTTCTCTATTGGTTTTGAGCATTTTGAAGACTATGGGTAATATTGTTAGTACAATTGAACTAAAATCGAAATAAAAAGCATCAAGACTTACCCTTGAACGACTCTGATGTTTGTGTCGAGGAATCTGTTGACACAGTTTGTGAGACAAGATTCTTCATTGGAACTTAGTTGACCGTTGCCGATGGAATCAACACATTTCTTGAAGCAAAGATCAGTGAATTGATGGATTGAAGTTTGCACTTTAGTTTTGGAGTTTTCAGATTCGATGAATTGGAGGATCTCTTTTTTAGAGGACTCGTCTAGATTGGCTAGGTCTGCTTGGTTCAAGGACATGTTGATATTGGCTGTTTGAGTGTATTCAAATGGTGAGTTTTAATGGTTTTAACCAATTTGAAATGGTTGAATTGAAATAATTCGAAGTTCAAAACACGGGTAACATATGATTACATAATATTCACTATCCCGCTTACTCAGCACATTCCCATAACGGTTTGATTTTATTTATAGACTCGAGCCAAAAACATTTTAAAAGTGTTTTAGAGTCAGAGATTTCAGTGAAGAACTCAAGAGATCCCACAGAGATCCAGTGCTATTGCCAGCGAGAGTCAGACCTAGTGCCCTTCCTTTCACTATCCACAGTTAGAACATTCACAGATCTCGTGCTGCTTATCCTTTTTTTAGTGCGTTGTTATAAAGAAAAGAACCGTTTCATAGCCTTCTGCTGAATTACAAATGCTCCTACAAAAACATATCCTTACCCTTGTGTTTGCCTCCTTGGTGGCATCCCAGGCAAATAATAATAACGGCAACAACAATAACAACGGTGGTAATAATAATAACAATAATGGTCAAAATGGATTTTCAACTTCATCATCATCTGCTGCCGTTGGTGGTGGTGATTCCACCTCTTTATCCAACACTGCTGCCTCTTCAAGTTTGAATTCAAATAATGGTCCAGGCTCATCTTTTACATCCTCAACTGCAACAAGTTCATCTAGTTTTGGTAATACTGGGTTTTCATCATCGACCCCATCTTCTTCAATAGCCAACCCAACAACCAGTTCATCTAGCTCTACAAGTACAAGCAGTTCCACTACAAGCTCTTCCACTTCACCAACTAGTACATCTTCATCTACTACAACAGATCAACCATCGTCATCATCTGCCCAACCTTCTTCTTCAAATAATGATCCTACAACCACACAATCATCAACTTCATCAAATACTCCATCTTCATCCCCATCTTCAACTTCACCATCTTCCACTACTCAAACATCTTCATCAACTACAGAAACTTCATCTTCTGAGACTACATCTTCTACAAGAGAAGCTGCAAGATCAACAGCTGTGGTAACAGTGACAAGTGTGTTCACTTCAAATGGTCAAGTAACTACTCAAACACATGAATCTTCTTCAACTTCTTCATCATCTGCAACACCAACTAGTGATAGTAATAACAATAACAATAAATCCAGTTCAGGTCTTTCTCAGAAGAATAAAGTTGTTGTTGGGTGTGTTGTTGGTATAGTAACACCAGTATTAATCATAGGTGCATTAGTTGCGTGGTGGTTTTCTAGAAAGAATAAACAAAATGTTGATCATTCAGGTAAAGAATGGAATGACGATGAAGTTGTTGATGATGGGTTAGATTTCGATGACGATGAAGCTGTTGATCGTTCAAAGAGTGTTAATAGAGCTGTGAATTTTTAGTGTCATTTATTTACTTATTCATTCGTTAATTATATAATAGATTTGTTAGATTTTTTTACCACAATACCCCCTTTTTTCCCCTTTGAACTATATTCTTATGCTATCCATTAATTTTAATCACTGTCATATAATTTCAACCATTGTAATATTCTTTTCAAATGCCCTAACAAAAGTTTATATACACTTCATTTTCGCGAAAACGGGTAATCAAATTTTGAGCCGAAAAAAAATTCACATATAAAAAAAATTTTTTCTCTTCAATTTTTCACTTTCTTTCATCTTTTTTAAAATCAACAACAAGAAAAAGGTATGTGAATTCAATAGATTACAATATTTGACTCATCTATTCTTCATTCGTTTTCTCCCCAGATATCAATCGAAATGACGATAAAAACGCTGTGCACCAGTCTGACCCTGAAATAAGTACTCTCAGGTTATGAAGCATTAAGTATACCCAAATTTCTGATCATTATTATACAATAATATTTAAGAATTTGATTATTTGTGGGTGGAATGAATAAAGGATTTGTTGGAGAATTTATCAATTGGTGGTTTCTTTTAACTAACTTTTATCATAGGTTTTTGTTTGAAATGTTTAATTTTAATTAATGACTTTTTGTTTTCAAAAAATTAGAATAATGTAGATTGATTCATACACAGATTGATTCATACACAGATTGATTCATACACAGACGCCGAACTAATGATTTTTGATAAACCATCATAGCCTATACAGCGTATACAATCATAACGCGTTTCTTTCAACTCAATTACGCGTTCAACGGTGATTGACAATTTGAACATTTGTGCTGGTTCAAAAACCAGTCGCGTGCCATAAAATTGAAGTCTTCTCAAATTGGAGGATTGTCGTACTCAAATTGGGCAAGTTACCATAGCTGTTACGCGTATCTAACTTACAAAAACATCTGTATACAAAAGTTCAAAAACAAGTAGGCAAAGTTGAACATGGCGAATCAATGGAACGCATGTAATAGCCACAAACACGCCTGATGGGAACCGTACGATGATGGATCATGAGATGAGAGTGAGTTTGGGGGTTCATAATATCAATCAATTTGCTTTATTCTTTTCTCTAATTGAAGAGTATTTCCAAATTCCAACCTGCTCTATGTAATTCAATGGATTTTAATGGAATTGATGTATTCGCTTACGCGTAAGACGAGGCACCAACGTTGAGATCGCGAAAAACAACCAGATTCAATCGATAAAATTTTGTTGAGGTTTATAAGCATAAGCTGTTACATAAGACAGCACAAGCTGGTGTTAGGATGCACAAACACCAAACCAGGAAACTGGAAGAAAAAGCTTTTCTTCCTTCTCGACGAACTTGTATAGAAAGGAATAAAAAAAAGATCAATAGGTTGTATTATTATCTTGAAGACCCTAATCTTAACAAATTTCACCTTTCCAAAAGCCAAAGATGTACAAAAAGGAGGTTTCTCCGCTGGATTACACAAATTTGATAGACAGAATTGTTAATCCTTGAGCAGTGCTTGGGTGTTGTTGTTGTGTTTATCATATGATAGTTGACCTGGTGGTGATTTATTTGTTCTACTATCAAGTTACCAATTGATGAATAGATGAATACTGCTCAGTATTAGCTTTCTCCTCGAGGAATTCATCACTTTGAACAGATATCTATGATATCTACGGCTTTTCTCCAAAATTCAAAACCTTCTTTTTGGGAAGTCAAGTTTTATGGTTTCGTGCTGATCAAAATGTACACCATGTGAACTCAGGCACAGCTTGAACTCGAATCTAAACGGGAAACAGTCTCACAGTTCACTTGTTCTTGTAAACTCAGCATAAAACGGTGGAAGTATCTGTTTGTACAAGGGGTTAGGTTCATTATTCTACAAAATTTCACTTCAATTGAACTTGAGTATCACTGACCTTTTCAACGGCCTTAAGTGTAATACACCTTTATAAGTAAAGTGTCAAGTAGTAATTATTATCTAAAGCACGCACTTAGGTTGGCTACTGCTTGTTCATTTCCCCTTTCCCCTTTCCCTTAATCGGCGTACAAAAAGATTTCGATAGAATTCAAGATTATTGTTAGACACATGCATTCTGAATAAAATTATTACACTTTGATACTGGATACAAAAGGGGGATATACTAACTTATAACTCATGGTGCTTTACAAATAAGCAGCTATTAACCTATTCCACACTTTTTCCAATGCTTTTTCTCTTCAAACTTCCAACATTCCATCCCAACATTCCACCAACAGTGTCAAAATGTATGGACTTTTCCATTTCTGAACAACGGTTGTCGATCTTACGCGTTCACTAGTGGAAAAAAAATTTTTTTTTCATGCTTTGACGTTGAGCAAAAGCCTTAAATTGAAGATCTTGAGCTTTTGTAACTGTGAGATTTGTATAAGAATCGGCATCAGATTGCATACTTTGAACAAGTGCCTGAGACCTAAACAAGGTGATTGGTGGTGGACCCGCCTTTTAACTCGAGGAATCTGTATAAACTGTCGTACATCGATGTACAGATTGACAATAAATGAACAATCCCGTGAGATTTGTATATATATCGAGCTGTTTCCCATGAGATGAAGGGAATTGTTTGGATAGGTGCTCAACTATAAACTTATACCATTCCTTTATTATATTAAAATGTTACAAGCTGAAGAATTCAGAAGATATCCAAAAAACACTTGGAGATTAACAAGATTACAACAAAGATATATCAAACTGAAATTTGAAGAAGAAAATGAAGATGATTTATTATCCTATTCTACAAGTGAAGAAGAACTAAGAAAACATTTGATAAATAATTTTGATTTTATAACATCAACTTTAGAAATGGCTGCTAATTCAACTAATTCAAATGAAATGACTGAACAAGATTCTGTTGAAGTTAAATCTGTTTCTTCAATTCCTTCATTAACAAGTGCAAACACTTCAAGCCCAAGTATTTCTGTTCACTCTAATTTCAATGATGAGCATCATTCACAACAACCTCAATACGTTCCAGAAGATTCAAACATGGGAAAATGATTTCATGTGAAATCTTTTCAATTAATACCAAACAGAGACAATTATACCTATTTATTTAATTCCAAAAACTCATCGTTCAGAACTGGCAAGGCTACCTTTTACAACATTACAATTTGAAATGCTGGTTCATTATCAAAAAAAGTTATTGGTTTCCTAAAAGATTGAACTTTTATTGTTTGATCAGCATGATCTTAGACATTATAGATTTAGATTACCAGAGGCTCCAGAGAACAAAGAGCTGCTTTTAACATTCACTGAGTACATCATTGAATATGAAATGAAAGCTAAAGATATCAATACTGGAGGTGTTCAAACCAAAGATAAATATTCATGAATGAAACGAAAAAATTCTTTATCACTTCAATATCTTGTAGCTCAGACTCCAGATCTTGAAATATTGAAATCTTGGAACTCTGATCGTTTTACAAAGTCAAGGATTAATATGATTCAAAGCAATCCAAATGCTCGTATTCAATGTAGAGACACCTGTTATGGATCCCACAGATGTAACTTGTGGTTTTAGCAGCTCTACACACGATCTTCAACTCAGTCTTGAATCTTGATTCTTGATACTTGTAGAGCTGGAGCTTCTCGATCCTTGTAGCACTAGACCAGCAGAGTACAAACCATTCAGCACCCACCAACCAATCCAACCATCAACCCCCAAACAACCCTCCAAATCACTCTTTTCTCGCTTATTTCACCTTCTCGCTTATAAGCTCGATGATGAAACACCCGGACACCAGCACGCGCCCTCTTTTCGCCGTTTTGGGAATTAATTAATTTCGTTTTGTTTTGGCGTACAATTTTTTTTCGTGAAACGTCAACAAAAAAAACAAATCAACAAAAACATCAAAACTTGGAATTGTCAAAGGAACAAACGCTTCTTTCTTTGATCTCAAACATCCAGCCCTGTTCTTTGAGCTGATTTAATACTGTGCTTGATATTTCCTCTGGTTATACGCTGCTGCTGCTGCTGTCCCTGTTGTTCCTAGTCCACGTTTTAGCCGTTTCAAGTTTATAAATAGACATGTTCAGGTCAAACTCCTCTAAAAGAGGCAGCATGAAGAAATATGAGAACTTTGACGATGAATCCCTGCTGGGCGGTGGAGCCTCTAACGTTGAAAGAAAAAGATCGTTGGTTAGACCTGAAAGAAACAATCTCAACAATCCAAATAATCCTCATCATTATTATGCCCAAGTTGCAACACAAGAACAAGATCATTTGAATGTCAATCCTTCCACCACTGGTATTGACCCAACGAGGTTGAATAGATCAAATAGTAAGAAGTCTTATAGATCAAACAACCCTACCATTAGAAACTCAGAAGATTACATCAATGATAATACTGGTGCTGGAATCCAATTAGAAAACTTAAACCCACTGTCAAGTCCAGAAACTGATACCCCACATAACGGAAGAGAAATATATGGTTTGAATGATGAATATGATAGTCCTTTTATGAATCAAAAACCTAAAAACCCTTCATCTGCTCCTCTTTTATCAACTTCTTCACCATATAATAAAAAACCTAAAAAGAAAGAGTCTGATAACGGGTTGTCATTTTGGCAAGTTTATTGTTATGTTATAACTTTTTGGGCTCCAGGATCATTGTTAAAATTATTTGGTATGCCTAAAAAGGAAAGACAAATGGCTTGGAGAGAAAAAATTGCCCTAGTTTCAGTCATTTTATATCTTGGTACTTTTGTTGCATATTTAACTTTTGGTTTCACTAAAACCGTTTGTGATACTTCTGTTATGAGATTGAAAAATAATGAAGTCAACGAAGGTTATTTGATCATCAATGGGAAAGCTTATGATTTAACAAAATCTTCACATCCAGCTGCAGCTGGTATTGATGCAGGTACAAATGTCCTATACCCTCCTTTAAATGCTGGTGGGAAAGATGCTTCATTCTTATTCCAAAATGTTAATGGTAATTGTAAAGGTTTGATCAAACCAAGATCAAATTGTTCAATTCCTCATGAAGGTGATGATCTTGCCTGGTATATGCCATGTAAATTATATTCTCAAGATGGTTCAAGTTCTCCAAATTTTACAACTTCTGAATATTATGATGGTTGGGGTTGTCATACTTCCTCTACTGCGAGAGATGCTTACTATAGCTTGAAAAAAACTGGTGATGTTTATTTCTCTTGGGCAGATATTAAAAACTCTACAAGAAATTTAGTTGTTTATTCTGGTAATGTCTTGGATTTGAATCTACTTGATTGGATACAGTATGCGGATTTAGAATATCCTGCAATGTTTGATGAATTGAAAAAATCTTCAATGAGAGGTTATGATATTTCTTTATTATTGGCTGATAACACTGATAGAAAAGCTGCCAAATGTTTATCTGAAATTATCAAAGTTGGTGTCATTGATTCTGATACTATTGGTTGTATTGCTTCAAAAGTTGTCTTGTACACTTCATTAGTTTTCATTTTATCTGTTGTCTTCGCTAAATTCATATTGGCTTGTTATTTCAAATGGTTTGTTTCTCCAAGACAAGGTGCTGATATCATTGATAATAGTGCAATGAACAAAAGAGCAAATGAAATTGATGATTGGGCTGAGAATATTGACTCTCAAGGTCCAGTTAAATCAACTACAAATAGACCAAATCATAACCGTTCAACTTCAAAATTAAACCTCCTAAGAAATTCAAGATTAAATTTCAATGATCAAGATCTAACTAATCAAAATTATACTGTTCCAAAGCAAGACTTTGATGTCAATGGTAAAGCAATGACTACCATGGCTATTCAAGCTGCTCAACAATTGAATGAAAATCAAGTTAAACATGGTCATTCAAAAACGTTATCCACAAATACTTTAGGGATCACTCCATTTGATACAAGAAATACTTCAATCAGTAATTTATCTGCATTAAACCAAATCACTACTTTAGATCCTGATATTATTCATCCAGGTGTTGTTCCACAACCCCCAATTGATTATCAACCTTTTGGTTTTCCATTGGCCCATACCATGAACCTTGTTACTTGTTATTCAGAAGATGAAGAAGGTTTAAGAACTACATTAGATTCTATTGCTACTACTGATTATCCAAACTCTCATAAATTGATCGTCATCCTATGTGATGGGTTAATTAAAGGTTCAGGTAATGACAAGACAACTCCAGAAATTGCCCTAAGTATGATGACTGATTTTTCAATTGAACCTGAAAATGTCCAACCTTATTCTTATGTTGCTGTGGCTCAAGGTGAAAAAAGACATAATATGGCTAAAGTTTATTCAGGTTTTTACAAATATGATAATTCAACTATGCCAATGGAAAAACAACAAAGAGTTCCAATTATTACAATTGTTAAATGTGGTACTCCAAAAGAAGCTACTTCTGCAAAACCTGGTAATAGAGGTAAACGTGATTCTCAAATTATTTTAATGTCTTTCTTACAAAAAATCACATTTGATGAAAGAATGACTGAATTAGAATATGACATCTTGTTGAATATTTGGAGAGTTACTGGTCTTTTAGCTGATTTTTATGAAATTGTTTTAATGGTTGATGCTGATACTAAAGTTTATCCAGATTCTTTAACTCATATGATTGGTTCCATGGTTAAAGATCCAGAAATTATGGGTCTTTGTGGTGAAACCAAAATTGCAAACAAACGTCAATCTTGGGTTACTGCTATTCAGGTTTTTGAATATTATATTTCTCATCATCAAGCTAAAGCTTTTGAATCTGTTTTCGGTGGTGTTACTTGTTTACCTGGTTGTTTCTGTATGTATCGTATTAAAGCTCCAAAATCTGCAGATGGTTATTGGGTCCCAATCTTGTCAAATCCTGATATCGTGGAAAGATATTCAGATAACGTTGTTGATACTTTACACAAGAAAAATTTATTATTATTAGGTGAAGATCGTTTCCTTTCAACTTTAATGTTGAAAACTTTTCCAAAGAGAAAACAAGTGTTTGTTCCAAAAGCCGTTTGTAAAACTGTTGCTCCTGATAAATTCAAAGTTTTGTTATCACAAAGAAGACGTTGGATTAATTCAACTGTTCATAATTTGATGGAATTGGTTTTAGTCAATGATTTATGTGGTACTTTTTGCTTTTCAATGCAATTTGTTATTGGTATTGAATTAGTTGGTACTTTGGTTTTACCTGCTGCTATTTCTTTCACTGTTTATGTTATCATCACAGCTATTGTATCAAGACCAACACCTGTCATGTCGCTTGTTCTTTTAGCTCTTATTTTGGGTTTACCTGGGTTGATTATTATTGTCACTGCTTCTCGTTGGTCATACCTTGTTTGGATGTTGATTTATATTATGGCCCTTCCAATTTGGAATTTTGTTTTACCAGCTTATGCTTATTGGAAATTTGATGATTTCAGTTGGGGTGAAACAAGAACTATTGCAGGTGGTGACAAAGGTCATGATGAAAGTGAAGGTGAATTTGATCACTCAAAGATTAAAATGAGAAGATGGAGAGAATTTGAAAGAGAACGTCAAAATGTTATGTTTAACAACGGATTAGAAGTTCCAAGAAATACATGGGATCCTTCTCAACATGAGAAGGATGATGGTGATGTTTCTGTTGAGATTTTGAATTGAAAAGAAAGGAGAACAATTATAGGTTTAGCATTTTATATTTTTTCTAAAAACATTTTACATTATACACTGGGCTGGGATGGGTTCTACAGTTTTCATAAATATTATAAATATCATGCATTATTGAATTTTTGAATCATTTGATACTAGATAATCTGTAAAACTCAGAAGTTATGCTTCTCAATACTTTTTCTGACTCTTTTTCTTTTGATAAGGATGAAATGTTCTGTAAAATGTATGGATATAGTTCTAATAAACCCTTGAAACCTTCAATATTATCAGCTGTTACTTTTGAAATCAAGCTTTCAAGTTCGCTCAACGATAAATCCAATTCTTTTTGCTGAACTGAAGATGATGGTGCATAATATAAAAGTTTTTGTGAACCCGCGAATTTCTTGAATGATAAAACCAAACGACAAATCAAAAACGGTAAAGTCTTTGTTGCAAGCCTCTTTGCACTGTGAAGATCACTAAACATGAATAAATCTTGTAGACAAATTGTTCTGAAATGTTGTTGAGGTAGTACCTTAAATGGCTCCGTGGTGTAGTCATTCAATTGAGTTGATAACAAAGATTGTGTAACTTCAGCTGGAGAATTCAACTTGTTTAATAAATAATCCTCAATTTCGTCATTTTCATACAAAAAGGATGATTTCCATACAGATGAAACTAATTTTTCCAATGCAATATCTGGAACAACTTCTTGACCAATGTTTGGTAAAATAGATTTTTTAAACTTTTGGTAAATATCCTCATTGAAACTTTCATCGCGACTATCATTTGCAACAGGCAAAGATACCACAATTGAATCAATAATATGATCCCACACCTCTGAGAATATATGTGTCTTTGACTCATCCAGTTCTTCTTGCCCTAATAAAGGTGAAACTTCAGAGCCTAGAAGCAACAATATCGATAAAGCATTTTTCCAAAGACCATATTCAAGAATGTTTTCTTGATGAACTTGATCATCCACTTTAGACTGTACTGCATCAAGTAAATTTTTGAAAACTTTCAAGAAACTTTTATTTGGAACCAAAGGTGAATAATCTTTAATTTGCCCTAAAGTTGATTTCAACCACCCAAGTGCTTCATTACTTACAGCAATAAAGCTTGGAACTTCAATTTTACCTTTCCCTTGTAGTTTCTTTACTATTCTGGCTCTTGTTTGGAAAGGTAACAGAATTATTGATGCCATATGAGATAACATCAATGACAAAACTTCAGAATCTGTGGATATATCAACAACTTCAAGGCACTCTAGAACAACAGCCTGAACCTTTGTAGGTTTCTGAATATCTTTGGTGAACCTTGGTAAGAATGGGAATCTAATTGCATTGTTGAAAATTGAAAGAGCCTTTTCAAGTTGTGTAACAGAAACATCTGAAAGCTTGTATAAACTTTTGAAACTTCCGATTAACTCCACGATACAATTTTGATAATTATCAGTATCAGAAACAACATAAGTAATATTTTGTGAGCTCCAGAACTCAAATAGAAGATCAAAAATCTTAACATCAATTGTCTTGAACGAAGCAGTGATTTCATTAAATGACTTGTAAACGAAAAAAGTAATCTCAGTTGCATTCCACTTTACCAATTTCTGAAAGAACTCTAGTAAACCTTCCCAATAAATTATCTCATTTGATCCTATGAAAAAGCGACAATACAGATCTGTTAAACCTTTTAAAATTATGGAGACACTGTCTTTGTAAGATGCTATGATCTCTGGATCTTCAATCAACTTATTATCAAACTCAATATTCAAAAGTTCTTTGACAACAATACTATAAGTTTTGTTCCAGTTCAAATATGATCCATGAGAATCAATTATTCTGAAGAATGTCTGCATTGCACCATTTCTCACTTCAGGTCTTGGGTCGTTTGAAATATTGACAATACTGCTCAATAAGTAAAGCCATAAACTATGAACCTCTGTGTACTTATCTGTGTTATTGAGAGCCTGGAGTAATTCTTCCTTGTTGTTAAAGCTAAGTTCTGGGCCACCTTCATTTGGAACTAAATGACGGAAGTAATCACTAATCAGCCAATAATAGCTTATAGCGGAAAACGAAATGTTCAGCTCATATTCTTGAGTGCAAAATTTCTGAAGAACATCAATTATTTTGATCATTATTTTCAATGGGATAGTTTGCAAGAAATCATTCAAGACCAGCTGTAATATTTCAAATGCAGACTTTAGTAGTTGTTTTTGTGAACTAACATTTTTAGAAACTTCAAAAAATTTGAAGGGGCAATCAACAATATGAATAACGGCTTCCCAAGAATGTGAAAGATGAGTACCAAATCTATCAAGTAATTCATATAATGTTTTCAAAGTATCATGAATCATTTCAGACTCTGAAGTTGATAATTGGGTTTCGCCCAATGAAGAAAGCATCCGATCAACCATTTTTGCAAGTGAGTTTAGCAATTCAGTTTCAATATAGATCTTATCAAATGAAGAATCAGGTGAAAATGCAACGGCCGCTAGCTCTTTAGTTGATAAGTTGAATGTAGCACAAGCAGTGACTCTTAAATCTGAAGCAACTTGAGGAGATGTACATACATCGGACAAAAACTTCACCACATCAATCCAGTATTTATTACCTTTTTCCAAATACCTTTTAGCATTAAATTTGGAGACAATCACTAACTTTTTTATGAAAAAATCTCTATTGTATGGGCATAATAATATATCATCTTCAATGATAGGTTCTGAATTATCTATTTTATCAAAGACAGACATTCTTGAAATACTTATCAACTCAATTAACCCATCACGAAAAGCTTCATCATCATAATCAGCGGTTGATTCAAATAATTTTGAAAATGAACTTTCAGCAGATTTCAAATCAGTATTTGCAAGCTCAGGTTTTGGGGGTGTTTCTTTGAACGATAAATATTCTGATGGCCCATTTAAATAATAATCAAACCATTGAAAGGTTGAAAGTATGAATTTCCAGCTCTTCTTCAAAGTTGGGCCTAATGAAATGACTAGACTGACTAATGCTCTGAAACAAATTATATGCCTTGAATTCAAATACCTTTGATGAAATCTTTGAATATTTGGTGTCGAAGCTGGTGATGGTGCGATTGAGTGACTGATTGTCTCCACGATTGTCTCACTTATTGATAATGACTTTGAGTTTCTTCTTAGGTTATTGCTTATTGTAGCGATTGAGAACAACATCAATAATGAATCTCTTTCGGCATTTAATCCCAATACACCAGCAGCATGGCAAAGTTTTTGTAAGGCTCTTATCAATGCATGAAAAAGTTCATTCCCCAAAGAAGCGTAAAGAAATTCAGCACCAATAGAAACAATACTTTTAGCATTTGACGTTACTAATGTTTTCATTTGTAAGGCTTCACTTTGTTCATGGTTTTCAGACGATAATTCATTCAAGAATGTGAATGTGTTTGAATCATTTGTTGAAATTTTTCTGATAAAATTTCCTATACCCTCAGATATGGAGTTTGTGCACGATAAAATCAAATATAATGTATAGGCTTTTGGAGCCGGTGGTGCTTCATGCTTGTCCAACAAATCAATATAAGGAATCTTTAAAGCTGAATTGGCCATCGTTATTGAATGTTCTTGTGCCGGGACTAAAACAATATCATTAATTTGTAATACCCTAGTTGCCCATGGTTCTTTCACAATTTCAGAACAGACGCTCAGAAATCCATGTATAATTTTCTTCTTATCTTCATGATAATCATAAGAGGAGAAAATATCCTTGACTAAATCAAAATCACTTAGCACAGCATTGAATATCTCCAAAGATAAAACTTTCTTCCAATATGGGACATTTGATTCTTTTGAAATGACATGTGTTAACAACGAAAGCATAACTTCAGCTTCAATCTCCAAAATACTAATTTGAGTTCGTATCAATAACAATATGATTCTTGAAACTCTAACAATTATCAAAAAATCTCTATGATTTGAGAAAGATCTAAGTAGTAAAGGCGTGATTCTAGTTCTGACCAAAAACCCAAGTTCAGTATGAGATAAAAACACATCTTGATAATTTGTAAGGACATTCTCCAACAGTTCAAAGCCAAAAGATTCAGACATGGTTTTGAAAGTTAAAAATGTAGGTTTTTGATGCTCAACTAATGAACACAAATCATTCAAAACATTATAAGCATCAAATGCACTTGAGGAAATTTTCAAATCTTCATCTTCATCAATCTTCACTGTAAATTCCTTCTCAACGTCAGTTTTATCATCTTCTAGAATTTTATCAAACAATGAAAGAACAATTTGTTGTTGTGTTGCAGCTGAAGTGTTTATAACCATTGGTATTTTACTTGGAGCTTGAAGCATTGAACAAATTAATAGCAGTTTCGCAACTAGGCCATTATTGATGAATTCACCATATATCTGGAATAAAGTTGGAAGTGTTTGCAAGACTTTAAGTTGAATATCCACAGCTAGATGTGTAGCCTCGATGAATGCATCTAATAGTAGATCTAATTTTGAAATGGGTATAGCTCTTGATAAAATTAACTTGTTTAAGCATTGTATGGCTATTGTACTGAATTTTGCGTTTCTTGTGGAGCATGACAGTAGGAAAGGTGTGATAAAATCAGGGTTCATTGATAACTCTTTCAAAAAAGTAGCTTCATTTGACCTCCCGTCAAAGGCTTTCAATATTGTTAAAGATCTTTCAGAAGCCTAAAGCACAATGGGGTTAGTTTTCAATCTGGACAATTGTTATTTTCAAACTTACATGTTTGATTTCAGAGTTCCTTCTTTTGGATTCCGATACCAAATTCGTCAACTCAGTGGAAAGATGAGACACGGTTGACATTCTCTTTGATCTCAAATGGGTTCAATTGAGCTGTACAGAATTGTGTAGTTGTTGTGTTGACATTCTTTTGAATTAACTTGAACACGTCCCAAATAAGCATTCCGAGGATATATGGGCACGTGATAGGTCGGAATCATAAACTCTTTCTTAGCTTTAAAAACTACATATGGGGTCATAAAAAAGGTCGTAAGCGTTCATTAAATAATTCATTATATTCATACCTCATCAGAGGTTCTATGGTCATTGGTTTCTGATGATGACTCTAATGTTCTAGACGTGCTTGGAGATTGATCTTCTTCGTTGTCACTATCAACGACAACCTCCTTCTTTGAGTAGATGTAAACTTCTTTATTATTGGCTTTTTGTCTCTTTTCACGTTGCTCATTCTCTCTTGCAGTACTGCTAACACTAACTGAACGAGGAACAGCTAAACCATAAGCAATAACTTGATCTGTGAAATATAACAAGGTGTTTGTTGTATTGCTGAATGTGTTTTTGATTTTATCTTTGATGTTACTTGAGGATTCTTCACCAACATTTGGTGTGTTTCTATTTGAGCGATCATTTGGTCCAGCCTGTGATAGTTCATGATCTCCTTGGTCACCATCATTATTATTGTTATTGTTATTTTCATTTTCAGTGTTGAAGTTGTTATCAAGAATCTCATATCTTGCTATATCCTTATATTCATCTTCGTAGACAGGTCTTCCCAAGACTCCTTCTCTTTGTTCGTGTCTTTCTAATGCATGTACTCTATTGATCCATTCCCAAGGGATAACTGTAACACTAACATAAATTGTAGTGTTGAAGATTTCAGATAATTCCGAAACCCAAATGTTTGCTATATCAGTGATGAAGAATGCAATTTGTAAATTGATAACTAAGAAAGTCAACACTGTTAACAAGATTAGACTTCTTTGGAAAATGTAATATCTTTTACCAAAAGAATAAATTATAATCAATCCTGAATACATTGTGGCTAATGCAATTCTTAACAAATAAGTGAAAGCAGGTAGGATTGAAATATCAGAATCATCAGTTTGATCAAATTGTGAAAAAGTGGAAACACCCCATATAACTTGAGCACAAATTGACAAAGTACCACCAAGAATAAAACTAACTCTTTTCTCTTTAACTCTTGAGAAAAGCCGTATAATGATTTGAACCTGAGCAAATTGCGCAATAAGCACAAAGATAAAGTCAATTATATTGAACACTTCGTTGCTTTGTAAGTCATCCAGTAGTTTTTCACCATCACTTATCCCTATAGCATGTTGATCTTTCAAGCAAATGATGGCTCTAACAATCAGAATCACCAAGTTGACCGATGCCAGGAAGCTGCCCACTCTTAATAGCCATGAGGGTCTTTGGGTATGGTTTGTGAAGACGATGATTGTGAGGAAGATGGCCATGACTGTGGACACTGTGAGGGAGTATATGAGAGGGTAGATGCTGTACTTGAAGTCCCCGTAGGTGCTGTGGGAGTACTCGACCCACTGGCTCTGCAACTCTGGCAGCGAGCTGATGCCCATTCGCTTGAACGAGGACAGCACAGGGCCCTCGTTGTAGCAGTAGGGCGTGTAGAGGCTGCCCTGCACCAGCTTGAGCTCTCTTGCCGGGTGGTTCACCATGATGAAGCCGTCGTTGAGCCTGAGCCCGTCGCACATCGAGTAGCGAGGCCTGTTGGGGGCGTATCGCCAGATCACGTTCGTGCCAAACACCATTTCCTTTAAGGCTCTTTTCTGGTGAATTTGGTTTAATTTAATTTGAATTTGATGCTTTTGATTTGTAAAATTCCTTTTGCTTTAAGGAAAAACCAAAAAAAAAAAAAAAAAAAAAGTAAAATCAAATTAAAATTCAAGAATCAAAATTCACCAACTTGAAACGGAAACTTATGGGCTAGCTGGTGGTTGTAAATATTAGCAAATGTCCCACATGTACCATAAGCCGGCTCTTCAGCTTCAGCACAGGTCGCCCTCGCTGCCCAACATCAACAGCCAGTTCAACAAGGGACCCTCTTCTCCTGCTGTCAAGAGGAATGTGTTGAGTACTTCGAACAATAGGTTCCAGGAGCCCTATGTTGATGATGATCATCCAGAGTTTGAGTTCAGCAATGGTGTTGCGAATGAACAAGACCCACCATCTCCCAATAAACTAACCATCCCAAAATCTTTTTCAAATCAATTGTCTGTCACATCGTCTATAGATCATTCAAATCTTAGTGTTATTGATATGTATGGTGATGATAATTCATATATTTCAACTACAGAAGGACAGAATCAACAAGTCACAGAGTCATCTTTGAATCTGGGTAAAGATATTGTTGATTCAAATAATTATTCATCTTCAAGCATTGCTAATAAATCAATGGATAAATTAAACAAAAGCGCAACTGCAAATGATTTAGAAACAATTCAAAGTTCCAGAAAATCAGCATCTAAAATACGGCTTTCAATTGAAGAAAGTCAAACCAAAATTGGATCGAATCGTGATAGATATGGTTTCAAGAAGAAATCAAACTTTGTTAGTGAATTAGAATATAATGATTGGTGGGTAGATTATTCAAAACATTGTGCAAGACGTAAAAAAAAATGGGAAACTTTAATGATCAAAAGTGGTTTAAGCTTAGATAATGATAACCCTGAAAGATTCCCTGCAAGATCTGAAAAATTGAAACGATACATTAGAAAAGGTATTCCTGCTGAATGGAGAGGTAATGCATGGTGGTATTTTGCTAAAGGTCAAGACAAACTTAACAGTAACAAAGGGTTATATGATAAATTGGTTGAATCAACTGTTAACATGCATAATAAAGATACAGAGATTATAGAGAGGGATTTAAATAGAACTTTCCCAGATAATATTCATTTTAGACCTGAAAGAACAAGCTCCACAGTAACTCCTGAAACACCTTTGATTCAAGCACTAAGAAGAGTATTGGTTGCATTTGCTACATATCAACCTTCAATTGGTTATTGTCAATCTTTAAATTTCATTGTTGGTTTACTTTTAATCTTTATGGATGAAGAGAAGGCATTTTGGATGTTGGTTATAATAACTTCAAAATATTTACCAGGTGTTCATGAAATCAATTTAGAAGGTGTTAATATTGATCAAGGTGTTTTAATGCTAACTATAAAGGAATATTTACCAGAGACTTGGCAAAAAATCATTAGTATAAACTTTGATGATTCAATTGATCCAAACAGTGAACATTATGATTTCTTGGTTAAATTACCCCCAGTTACGCTGTGTACTTCAAGTTGGTTTATGAGTGCTTTTATTGGAATTTTACCTATAGAGACCACTTTGAGAGTTTGGGACTGTTTTTTCTATGAAGAATCAAGTTTTTTCTTCAAAACTTCATTATCAATTTTCAAATTATTAGAACCAAGATTAATTGTACATCATGATGAAATGGAAGTTTTCCAAATCATTCAAAATGCTCCAAAATCAATAATAGATCCTTCAACTTTATTTGATTTAATTTTTAAAAAAAAACATGGGTTTAATAATTTAACACAAGAAGATATCAACAGATGCAGGAAATTTGTTGGAGAACGAAGACAAAAATATAAAGAATCTTCAGATATTAATGATGCTAATTTTAATAGAGGCTTATTAAATGAATCTTTATGGCAACCTGATGTTTATGGTTTTAAGAAAGGTTTGCCAGGTGTTCATTGGAATAAAAATCTTACAAGAAGAATGAGAAACCTTCGAAAGAAACCAACGTAAATGAAATAATAAAAAGGAAAATCCATTGCATATACACCATTCATTTTGTTAATTCCCAACCTTTTTGTAGTCTAGTTATAGCAGAACTTGCATCAATCCCCTTTTCTTGTAATAATACTTTAATTTCATCCCATGGAAGTTCGATTTCTTTAGTTATTGGTGTAATTGTAGAAGGTTCAGGTGTGGAAACCGGTGTAGAATCACTTGTTTTATCTTTATTGATCATCACTGTGAATGTAACGTGTTCTTCACAATTAGCTACTGATCCTAACAGCACTGAGTCTTGGATAACTTTACCTTTCACTAATAATTTGATTTGAGATTGTGTGATTCCTTGTAAATTACCTTCATTTTTAACTAGTAAAGTTTTGACTTCAAAGAGTGTGTTTGATGTAGAGCTCTTGAAAGAGGTGTTGAATCTTGGAGGTTTGATGGATTTGAAAGTGACATCGATTATTTGATCAGAATCATTAGAATCACCATTGACTTGTTTCTTTGAGACTGGAAGTTTTGGAAGTTTTATTCCTAATGTTGAAATGTCCTTAAGGTCCTTTCTGTAATCAGCAGGTATCACGATCTTTGAGTCTGAAACCGAGAGCAAAGTGAGATAGTTGGAGGCGAATTCTCTTTCTGATTGAGTAGCACTAGTAGCAACGCTCATTTTTTTGGTAGCTAATTGTAGTTGGATTACTTTGTACTATAATTATGGCTCATGTTTTTCTCAACCTTTTTTTTATTCAAAAAATCAAACATCGCTTTGAGCCCAAAACACTTCAAAGAGTCCAAACAGACAACGAATGAACAGCTCCAAAGACTCCAACGACGTCTGGCAGGGTCCACCACCATCAACCACACAGAGACTCAGCAGTCAACAGCAACAGCCACCGTCAAGTACGACACCACAAACACTCCAATCAACAAGGGAACAGATGCCACAAACCAAAATGACCATAATGAACCACAGCAGGATAAGCTGCTATTCTTCAACTATCACGAATACATGGTTAATAACTACACCGACTTGAGAACTGGATTCCATGATATCCACGACCAAGCTGTTGTGATTACACATTTCCCCAACTATTCTGTCCCAGAAGATTCAGAATTGAATAAAGAAACAAGAATTGTAAGGATACCCAGAATCTTTGGTGTTAAAGGAATAGTGTACCCTGAATATTCAACATTACTTCCAGGCAATGAAGCTGCTGCTATTCAAGAATCTATTGGTGGTGAATCTAATGAAAATGATGACTTGATTAAAGAATTCATACCCAAGGGTATATATGAAGGTCAACTATTTGGTACTACATCAATAAGTCCATTAAGCAAATATTTCGATGATGATGAATTTACAGAATTAATGACAACGATCAACTCCAAAATAAGGAATTGTTATTCAAGTTATCATTTTTGGAACATTTTAGAATTTCTTTTAGACATGTTGACATTTTGGCTTCTGAGTGATATCTTCAAATTCCAGTCCAAAAGGGTGAGTATTTTAAATTAATATCCATTAAGCTAACTACTAATAATATAAATAAGCTACTTGATGAGTTAGAACAATTTATAGTTGAAACCAACAAAGAATTGGAACCAAGAGGTGTCAAGATCATTTCACCCCGGAGGACAGCTTATCTTTCGGTATGTTTAACCAAATTCCAACGAACCTTGAAATTATACTAACCTTTAATTAGATTGACTTCCAGATACCAAAACCCAATTTATAATCAATGGACAATCCAATCAGATCAAAAATTCCATGTAGTTTCACCAAAATTTTGTGTCACTCAAACGCATTCGCGAAAATTTTAAAATCGATGAGCTTTGAAATTTTTTTAAGCCCTTGAAAGAAATCACCAACAACTGAACAATAAGGAACAGAACGATATAACGCATTTCTCAATGTCTGATCAAATCCAAGGAATGAACGGGATTCTCGCTATTTCAAAGCCTCAAGGTATCACATCCTCCAAGTTCATTGCACAACTTCAGCATATCTTTACTGATTCACCAGTGTTTGCCAAACAATTGGCTGATATTAGAGGTTCAAAGATGCAAGCTATCCAAGAAACTTCAGGTAAAAAGGCATCAAGAAGACAAATGCGTAAACATACAAAAGTGAAGATGGGCCATGGTGGTACCTTGGATCCATTAGCTACTGGTGTTTTAGTTGTTGGTGTTGGTAATGGTACCAAAAAATTACAAAATTATCTTTCAGGAACTGTTAAAACTTATGAAGCTGAAGCTCTTTTCGGTGCCTCAACAACAAGTGGTGATGTTGAAGGTGAAGTTTTAACTAAAAATGCATCATCTCATATAACAAAACAAGATTTGGAAAAAATACCTGAGAAATTCATTGGACATTTAAAGCAAACACCACCAATCTTTGCAGCTTTGAAAATGGATGGTAAACCTTTATATGAATATGCTAGACAAAATCTACCATTACCTAGACCAATTGAACCAAGAGAAGTCCAAATATATGATTTAAAAATAGAGGATGATTCATTAACCAAGGATCATGATTACGAGTTTATCAAATCAACAGAAGTGGAAGGTGATGATGGTGAAATAACTATTGAAGAAGCTTTATCTAAAAACCCAACCTTGAATGATAATAAACTATATTTTTCCAAAGAATATGCTGAAAAGCAAGGAAATGCTGAGGAAAGCTTTGAAATTGAAAAACCAAAACCATCAGATGGATCAGAAAAAGTGGAAAATTACAAGGCTCCATTATTACACTTTACAGCATCTGTTAGCTCCGGTACCTATATTAGATCATTAATTAGTGACATTGGGAAAGCTGTTCAATCATCTGCATACATGGTTAAATTGATAAGGCTTCAACAAGCTGAATGGGAATTAGAGAAAAATGTCTTTAAACTTGAAGATTTCACTGAAAGAGACCCTGAAGTTTGGGGTCCTGTGTTGAAACAAGTTTTCGATAAAGGTGGTGAAGAAATCAAGAATTTATCTGAATTATTTGCAGAAGCTGAGAAGGAATATAAGGAGAAGAAGGCCAAACAGGAAGAGGAGGAAGAAGAAGATGGAGAAACATCCAAGAAGAGAACCATAGACCAAGTAGAATAGAGTAGAAAGTGATTTAATGATATTTATTTGTAGAGACTACTGACACGTACAATTGGCAGGCTCGATACACTCAAAAAAAATCAGTGGGGGCTGTTTTCTTTGGCGAATACTTGAAGAATGTAGTGAGAATTGACACATGATGGTGTGGTTTAGAACAAGATGGATGCACTTATAGCTAGCTGTGCACAAGCTCATTCGCTTGATGAGCCTGTTGCAACTTGGAATACAACCAAAAATGAGCTGACTCTTGAATGTGCCACTGTTGCAAGGGAATCCACACTTTGAGGAACCACAGTTTTCCCAATAGGAGTCTCTGGTATAAATACATCAAGATACCTTTGGTTGAATATAAATCATGGAGCTGGATCGTCACTACATATGGCTATAATGACACATACAAACGAAGTTAGAGTTCTCCCTCGTAAGGTGAAATCAGTTGCAATCATTGGTGGTGGTGCATCCGGTGCTATTGCGTTAGATTCTTTAATCAAAGAGGAAAAATTTGAAAAAATTGTTCTTTTCGAAAGAAGAGATGTTTTAGGTGGTGTTTGGGTCTTGGATCATAAACCTGATCAATTAGATGTTCCACCTGGTTTTACTCAAGATCAATTAGACCCTAAAGTTAAGATTCCAAAAGATTTCCAAAATGCAAAAGATGTGACTAAACTACCAAGAACTCAACAACAAAGATATTTACATACTGCATCTTATGAAGATTTGAGAACAAATATCCCAGAACAATTGATGACTTACAGTGATGAAAAAACATGGGGTGCTGATGAAAAACTTTATGTTGATGGCCATTATATTCGTGGTGTTGCCATTAGAGATTATATTGATCGTTATATCAATAGACATAGAGATCATGTCGTTCTAAGAACTACTGTGGAGGATATAACGAAGGATTATTCAACTAGTGATACCCAATTTGAATTGACTTTGAGAACTGAAACTGATGAAAAAGATAACGATGGTAATTATATTGATCATTGGAGAAAAGAAAGTTTTGATTCAGTGGTGATTGCAACTGGTCATTATCATGTTCCATCAATTCCAAAAGTTCCAGGATTAGATGAAGTATATCATAGATTCCCATCAAAAGTGAAACATTCCAAGACATTCCGTGCGAATGATGATTTTAAAGATCAAACAATCATTGTTATTGGAAGTCGTGCATCAGGTGCAGATATTGTGGATATTACATCTAAAGATGCAAAGTTTGTTTATCAATCTAGAAGAAGCAAAGGTCCATTGAGATTTGACGGAGCTGAAAACACTACACTGAAACCAGTTATCACCAAATATGAACTTGTTAATGATCAAGATATTATTGTTCATTTTGCAGATGGTACAACTGTTGAAAACCCTGATCAAATCATTTATGCAACGGGGTTTAGATTCAGCTATCCATTTTTAAAAGACCTTTACCCAAATTTCACAACTGGTTATATCAATCCAGATCTTTATCTACATACATTCAGCATTAAGGATCCATTATTATCGCTTATTGGAGTGCCAACAGATGCTATTTCATTCAGAGCTTTTGAATATCAAGCAGTTTTGGTTTCAAGATTCCTAGCAGGGAAAGTGGTACTACCTCCATTGAATGAACAATTACAATGGACTTTACAAAGATTTATAGAAAAAGGTGATCAAAGAGCTTATCATACAATAGACTTTGGTAAAAAACATGAATTTCTTAATCTGTTGACTTCAATTGGAGGAGGTGTTGAACCTATAGGTCAAACAGGACGTCCTTTCCCAACATGGACTGAAGATGATCTTCAATTGTTGTTGAGTATTGAAGAAAGATTCAAAAAGTTTTTTGGTGAAGGTGAAGCCAACGATTTTAAGAATTCTACGATCAAGCAGGAGTAAGGTGTAATAATAATAATTAAACGTTGTAAATAATGTGGTTTGAAATTTTGTAGCAGGCACCATTAAGCTCCTTTTCCATTAAACTCTTTCAATCCGCGTAGTGTTGATTAGCAGAGGGTCAAGGCCAGTGGCCCATCTCAAGGAGTGCACTATAGCCTCAAGCCTTTCGATTATTATTTCAACTTGCCAAACACTTTCTTTTCACAGTTGATCTCATCAGACACGCTAAAATTTCAATTTTTTTGGCCCATTCTCGCTCGACACAAAAACGCGTGAAAAAAAAATCTCGAAATCATGTGCAGCGAAAGTTTCCTTTTGTGGTCAACTAATTAGCAGCAGCGTGTCTGATAAATTCCCAGTGTTGGTTTGAGGTTGTAAGGGACATATAAACTGCGCATCGAATAAATAAGAGTTCCACTTTGGGATAATACTCAGGAACAAATTAAATGAAGCACATCTTTAACTCAGACTGTAGCCTGTGCAAAATCAAACTAGATAACGAAAAAGGTTGTACAACCAACCATATGGAGAGAATCATCTCATTAATAGGTGCTTTGGTATAGACATCTGTGCTTCGAGAGATGGCCTCGATTCGTTAAATTAATTGCAATACAAGTAAATACAGTCCTAATCAACACCATGATCAATGGCCATACAAGTCACTAAAATGAACCCAAGTTTGGTGCTTCAAAGCCTAAAATGACATCTCAATCTGACTACACATCCACAACCACACAATGTAAATTTCTCTCCTATCCATCACACTCTTTTGTACTCGTGCACACTAATTTTTCGTTCGAGAACGGTTTTTTCGACGCGCGATCCAAATTTTGTTTTGTTTTCGTTTCCAAAGGGTTGAAAAATTTGTGGCAGGTGCAGTTGAGACGCGACTCCTTCTGTTTTGATGAAAACATTGACCGTGAACCTTCAACTCTATCAGGCTCCAAATGGCATATATATACTCCAGTTCTTCTGCCTCTCGTCAACCATGCTGTGATTGTTTGCAACCACTATCACTCACTCCAGTGCTTCAATTATCACCATCTCCCTTTACAATTCAATATGTCTGACCAACAAGCTTTATCTTTATTGATGTCTTCTCCAGTTACTCAAGACATGCTTTCACACATTGTCAACGTTACACTCAAGGTTATCCAATGCAAAAAATCAAAAACTGTTCTACCTTCACCACCTTCAAGTCCAAATCAAAAATCATCAAAGAATTTACCATCATTAATGACTTTCATTTCACGTCTTGTTAGATACACAAATGTTTACACTGGTACTTTGTTGACAACTTTAGTTTATTTGGAAAGATTAAGTGCTAAACTACCAAAAAATGCTGAAGGTTTACCATGCACTTTACACAGAATCTTTTTGGCTTGTTTGATTCTCTCTTCAAAATTCCACAATGATAGTTCTCCAAAAAACTACCATTGGGCAAAATATACCGATGGTCTTTTCAAATCTGAAGATGTCAATTTGATGGAACGTCAATTGTTATCACTTATGGATTGGGATTTGTCAGTTTCAAATACTGACCTAATTCGTTCGTTGAAAAGATTTATTGATCCAATCAAAGCTGATTTGAGAAAAACTTCAAGAGTTCGTCGTCATATCATTAAACAAAAACAACACCAACAAATAGCATCAAATTTGGTCTCTCCACTACCTTCAACTGCCTCATCCACTCAATTACATTCATATGTTGATTTACAAAAAGATCAATCACATTATAGAAGCTTATCAACATCCTCGATCTCCTCACTTTCTTCATGTTCCTCAATTGACTCATCCCCAGATGATGATCTTTCAACTGATATCAATCGCTCATATCTATATCAATCATCCACTCTGCAAAAAGATCTTGGGAATAATACCTCCATGCCTACATTAATGGAAAATGGTTTAAATGAGTTCAATTACATGATTCCAAATTATTTGCATTAACTTGGTTAAACTTTCATTCATTCATTCATTCATTCATTCATTCGTTACAATATTTTATTTTTCACATTCTATTTCATTTGTCTTTCGAAATTAGTTTTCAAATTTTGGTTTTTCGGTTACATGATTTTTAAAGGGTTTTTACAATTAGGTTTTAAATTAAGGGAATATACTATTAGATAAAAAATATACTGGCATTATTTATAACAACTTATTTTGATCGTAGACTTAATAAAACCCATACTGATGATCTTGGAGAACTGATTCCAGTAAATTTATTAAAATCTTACTCTCGACGTACTTACGTATATAGAGCTTGATTCCAATCAACCAAAATATGTGCTTTCCAAAACACCTTTAATTATGAATATGTGAAGATTTGTGAGCTTGCCTTCAAAACTTTTAGAAGACTTTCAAATAGTTTTTTGTATGGTAATTTAATAGGTAAAAAATGAGTGGGCGCGGTATACCGAGCGTGGTGTTCGGATGTTACCAATGCAAAAAAAAAGGTCGTACCCGGATTCGAACCGGGGTTATCCGGATCAAAACCGAAGGTGATAACCACTACACTATACAACCATTTTATGATTTTTTCTTTTTGTGCTTTACTAAGATTCCAAATTTGCTTTCGGGCGTATAGTTCAGCGGCCAGGGTTCCAATTATATGTGACACGGTTCCCGGTTCGAATTTGAAAACCTGTTCTAACGTTAAGTGAATCCGAAAGCGAGGGAGTTTTAGTGGGTATGCCTAAATGTATACAGGTGAATCCCACACTGTTCCAGTATTTAATTATACTGGTTCGTGCTTAAAGCATTTCTTCCTTGTAGTGCATAATGTTATTGTTGTATACAAAAAAAAAAAAAACGTATTATAAGTGAATTATAGTACATAAAAATCAAGCAAATCAGTTAATACAGATTAACAGCTATCCAAAGAGCCTACTTTCAACTTACTACCATGTCTGGATCAGAAGATGATCCGAATAGGGTTTCGGAGAATCCACCGAATGATGGAAATAAAACCTCTGAAAACACCCCCCAAAACGCTTCAAATGAAGCTGAAACCAATGAAAACTATGAAAAAAACCAAAAAAATCAAGAAAATACTACTGAAAACCCAAAAAAAAATGCAGAAAACCCAAAAAACTCGGAAAATTCTTA